GATGATACATGATGATGATACATGATGATGATACATGTTGATGATACATGTTGATACTTGATGATGATACATGATGATGATACATGATGACGATACATGATGATGATACATGATGATAATACATGATGATGATACACGACGATGATACATGATGATAATACATGATGATGATACATGATGATGATACATGATGATGATACATGACGACGATATATGAGGATGATACATGATGATGATACATGATGATGATACATGATGATGATACATGATGATGATACATGGTCCTTATACATGATCATGATGATGCATGAAAGTAATCTACTTACCTTTATCAGTCAATACTGGAAGAGTAACATTTATTACAAGACTATGATTAATCTCTCTTCGTCCTCCACGAAAACGGTTCCTAAAGCAGAGGACTTTTACTCTTGAAATCTTATCTCCCCTGTATGACAGCAACAAGAAAAGTTAAAGGGTATCAACTCTGAGTTCTGATATATATGGCACGTAGTGACAACATTAATTTTCATCTCACCAGTGGTACGCCAGGAAATACAGAAAGTTTCTCAACTGCCATCCAGGATGGGAAGGCATGGTGGAGGGGTCTGCAAAACCTACCATAAACTGATAAAAAAATGTTCATGGTCAGAGAAAGAAAATACAACCCACTCATGCTGCCTTTTAGAACTGAAGGTCCCTAGAGTGGTTTTCTTAAACCCCAGAGGGAGCCCAGCTGTACATGAACAAATAAATCAACTGAGTACTCTGGGTTTCCTGTGTTGAGATTTGAAACAATACGTTATACGTTGATTTTCCAGTAATCGTACTACCAGTAACTTGATAGCAGATTAGGGATGAACCATTAGATAATTGAAGGGGGGGGGGGTTGCAGGAATTTTGCTTGCATGATGTTTATTTTTTTGACTCAACCCTTGCACACCCCCCCCCCCCCCCCCAATCAACTATCTTATTGTCCGTCCCTTAATGTAAACGTATTAGTGTAACGCACGCCTTAGTAAACAGTTTACTAGGGCATGCGTTACACTAATACTTTAGATTCGATTTTT